CTCTCACTCGGTGCACTTTTAATGTTTAGACTCAAGAAGTTAATAGTACGTGGCGAGTTGGCGCACCAAGTTTTTGTCATGTATGGACAATTGTGACTCTTCGTTTATTTTCTCAATTAATTGATCGAAGCATTGCATTAAGAAAAAATGTTAAAGGTACCCACTGAGTTACACTCTATATATAAACCTTAAATATTACCATTTTTATCCCCTCCCTCCCTCTTCTTTGGCCCATACTATTTTCTCCTCCCTCTTTAATCTTCCATCTTTGTTTTTTTTCTTGTTATTTTCTTGTTTCTTCCTTCCTTCCTTCCTTCTTTCCCTTCTTTCATCATCATCTTCGATGTACCCATTATTATCACCCATCTTCACCATTTCCATTTTATTATTCTTCATTCTTTATCATCTTCCATTTTTATCGCCTTCCATCTTACCTACTTCATCATCGTCGGAGCTCGGAGATGAGCCACTTACAAATGTCATCGGAAAAAACAAAAAAAGTTTGAAAGTTACTGGAAAATTGCCGGAAAACAATAAACGAACACCCACCAGAAATTTTGTCTGTGTCATTTACAAAATATCGTTTGTGTCATACTAAATACTGAGAGAATCTGTCTGTCAGAAAAAATGAAACTATAAAACTTGTAAATATTGTAAAATTTTGTCTGTATATAGACAAAATTAAGTTGTCGGTGTACATGAACAAAAGTATTACACATAGACAAAAAATACATGGGCACACACATTTTTGTTTGTATACACACAACTAATGTTTGTATTCAGACATTGATTTACGTGTAAATCACACCAATTTGCGTACTTTTTCCGTGTAAATCACATCAAAATGTATGTATACAGGCATAAAGTGTGTGTACTCATACACTTTTTTGTGTATGTACACAAACATTGATTCTTGTGCAACCTAACCCTAATTTTTCTGATATTCTTGTCCTTATACACATACAATAAAAGTAAACCAGGCAAACATATTTAGTTCTTATTTCATAGAAACAACTTGCATCATTATTTAATATGATAAACAATATTTTATACGTCATACAGACTAAAGTTATGACGACCATTTAACACTAAATATCCAGTGACTCTCTGGTGATTCTCAAACATTTTTTTCGGTGCATGGACAAAAATAAATGTGAAGATGATGGTGAAGATGGGGTACGAATAAAAGGTAAAAAGAAAGAAAATGAGAGGAAGAAAGAGAAGAGAAGAAAGAAGCAAGAAGAAGAAGAAGAAGAAGTAGGAGGAGGAGGGGGAGGAGGGGGGGAGGGGGGAGGGGGAGGAGGAGGAGGAGGAGGAGGAGGAGGAGGAGAAGGAGAAGGAGAAGGAGAAGGAGAAGGAGAAGGAGAAGGAGAAGGAGAAGGAGAAGGAGAAGAAGAAGCAGAAGGAGAAGAAGGAGGAGGAGAAGAAGAAGAAGAAGAAGAAGAAGAAGAAGAAGAAGAAGAAGAAGAAGAAGATGGTACATATGATTGAGAGAGGAGAGAAGGAAAGATAAAAGAAATTGGAGTGGTTTATATATGGTGTACCCTAGGGTGTACCTCTAGCATGTTTGTTACAACAAGATGTGGCAGCAACAAGTATCTTTCAACAGTAGTGTTTGTTATACACTCCTGGTTACTCCCTATTTATTTACCCTTCACACATACAAAAAAGTCCAAATGGAGACACTTTTCAAAAAAAATTGTGTGCCTTAACAAATCCCACTAGTACAAAAAAGGCTTGTAAATGTGTTTGCGCACAAACATTTTGTGTGTGTAGACAGACAACTAATGTCTCTATACATACATTGGTTTCCATGCAAATCACATTAATTGGTGTGCATTTTTTTGCGGAAAAAGACATATCAGATTGCATAGAGATCAATGTATGTATACACACACTACGGGTTTGTATACACACAAAAAGTGTCAGTCCACATACATTTATGTCTGTGCAGACACGTTTACAGAAAAATTGTGTTCACACATACATTTTTCCCCGAAAAGCGTTTGTACTGTTTTTGTTTGAAGGGTAAATAAATAGGGTTTAATCCGTGGTGTGACCCAGAGAGTACAAATAGAATATTTCATCTTTGAATTGAACTACTTTTGTCGATTTTTTGAACCCTTTATAATTAGGAATTACTGATAACTTATCTCATAAGTCCGGACTGACGGGGAGTCCCGTCCGGCCAAGCATGACGTTTGAGTTCTTCTCGATCGAACTTATTACTAAAATTTCGTAAGCATATTCTTCATTAATTGTGGATTATCTTCACAAAGTTTCAGCTTAAAATGTAATCGAGAAGTCAGTTAAATAAATCATTGAAAAATAATGCGCTTTATATATATAAAGCGCAGTGTTTCTAACTAATTTATTTAACTTTCTTCTCTATTGAATTTCAAGCTGAAATTTGTGGACATCATCTACACTTTATGAAAACTACGCTAAAAAACCTCATCAAAATTTCGACCTAAAAGACCCTCAAACTATCTTGGCCATATGAGATATCTTGTTAGATGTGTTTGACCAAATCAGTGTGTAGGGCCAGACCCGATCCTGACATTTTATGAGTCCAGGACAATACAAATGAAATTGGTCTTATGGACAATGTGTGTATGTTTATAACTTTTTATTAAAAAAAACTATACGTAAAATTAAGTAGTACAATTGTTACTTATAATATAGAATTTTGAATTAGTGAAAGACGTGAAAGTTATATCATTTATGGAGTAATGTTTTCATATTTCAAATCATGATTTCGCTGGATCAAAACAAACTGCAAGCTTCTAAATTCTAAGAGAAGTAAATGGAAGGATTAACATTTATATGCTAACCCCTTAATGAATCCCAAGAAATGATGAAGTCTGTTGCCAAGGAATTCTGGTGTGGATATTTCAAATTTTTAGACTTGTAGCTTGTAGATGTACGGTGTTGACTAAGGAGTTGAAAATATCGAAAAACTCTATGTTTATTTTATTTTAGTTTAAACTTTTATAAATATATAATTGGGAAATTTATGAGTCCTGGGCACATGCCTCTTTGCCCATGCCCCAGAACCGGCCCTGCGTATGCCCCGAAGTTGTTACCCTGAGTGTTATTCATACTTTTAGTACTGTTGTCACACACAACACAAGCCTTTTACGACACATTTTGTCCCCACTCATCTCAATACTACTTCTGCGCAAGCAGTCAAGCACACTTAACTTGGAGTACTTAATATGAGTAATACTATTAATATCTTTGAATTAAGTTCAAAGTACTACACTTTGTATTTTTAAAATTTTGTCTTTTTATTGTTGCAGGATCCTTTATAATTAGAATTAGAAAATTCTTTAAATAAAATTAAAACAAAGATTAAGTTTAGAGAAATTGGCTTAAATAGGACCAAAACGTTTATATATTACAAAATAGGATTGTCATGTTTTTATATCCTAAATAAGAGTATTTCGCAAATTATACCGTGGGATCGGTCCACCATGAGCATGGTGTGCCGATCCCCATACGGTATCGTTTTAGAACTAAAAAAGAGAGCAAATCGTCATTCTGATTTCTCAGGGAAGGTGAGCCTCTTCCGATCACTTCCCACTTCACAATCGCTTATCGCTATCTCTGTTTATGAGGATCTCAGCCTGCAGTGAGGCGCATAAAAAAGCAGGTGGAGAACACTTATTTCAGGTCTGCGATTATCATCTGCCATGGCCTGCTGCATGAGCGAGGACTGCCTGGAGCTTCTTTTCTTGTTCGATGTATACATTAATTTTTATATGTTGTTTAAAGAAGGCCAGAGAGAGATAAGAAAGCACAAAATACATTCAATCGTTGTTCTTTTCAACTACATACATAGTATTGGACTATATATTATATATTCTACGAGTAATACATTTAAGGTTAATAAGGGTGTGTTTGGAACTGATTAAACTGATTAAAGCAGAAGCAGAATTAAAATAAGTTTTCAGAAGCTGGCTCCCCCAGCTTCTAAAAAATATGATTCTAGGAGTAAATTAGATGGAGCACAAGAAACACTTCTGCACTTTTACCCAAACACTCCAACTTCTGTTTCTGCTTCCTGAAGGAGCAGAAACAGTTTTAAGAATCAGACCCAAACACCCCTAAATCCAATACATATAATTAAGATTATAAATACTCTGTCTAATCTTATACCATCAATTACATTTGGTAATACACAGGGTCAGGGGCGGAGCTAGGGGGTGGCCACCCCTGGCCCTGGCCCAGCCCAAATTTTAAAAATCTCTATATTTTTAGTGTAAAAAATTCCGTGTGAAATTTTTTCCAAGAATATTCTTTGTACCGGCCCAGTCCGGCCCAGTGTACTGGCTCCGCCCCTGCACAGGGTTACATCTTTTTATGTGTGATTTTACATTTTCATGTACGTGAGTTACATCTTCTTATAAGCGAGTTACATCTTCTGATACGCGAGTTACATTTGGAATTGCCTCAACAAGTTACACTATGTATATATCTAAGTTACATTTGCCACCAACGTGAGTTACATTCGCAATGACATGAGTTACATAAAAAAATCAACCCCTACTTTTGAAACAAAAAAATGTTTTTTTTAAAATCATTTTTGAATGGCCATGATATTAAAAACCAAAAATATTCACGGTTTACATAAAGTAATTGTGCAATTAAACTCTTTTTTTCTTGTTCATTTTTTCTTGTTCATTAACTCAAGTACATTTCGAATGTACTTGAGTTACATTGATCAATCACGTGAGTTACATATCTTTACATGCGAATTACATCATTCATACAACTGAGACAAAAATAGTTATTGTACACACATGTACTGTTCACACGATTTTTTTTATTATATTGTGCAAAACTACGTTGTTTTGGGTGTGTGAGTACCGTGGGTGGTAACACGTACGGTATACAAACTCAGAGTATTTACTGTCATACGTTTGCACTACTAGATTTTAAAGATTGGACATTGACATTAAAATTGGAAAGGGAAATTGTCTTTATTATTAATATTTGGGGAAAACCCCCATTTTTTTTGGATTATCTCTATCCAGGAGTCCTCTCTCTAGACGGTGCGACACTGCAGCAACAAACTACCACCGATGTCCGCAGCGGTAGCTACTGAGAACGACGTGCTGGATACGCCGGTTCTCGATGCGGAACGAGCCAATCTGCTGCATCGTATTACGGAGGAAGGCGGCTACGCTTACGCGGGAATGGAGGCTCTAGCTGCGGGAGGCGATGCGAGGGCGGCAGAAGCGGCGAGAGAAATGGCCTGGGAGCAGCTGCACTCTGGTCCCTGGAATTCGGTTCTTCCCATTTGGAGGGATGCGTACTCCATTGCGTGTCTCCATGCCGCAAGGCTCCATTACAAAGCTGGAGAGTTCTGCCAGGCCATTCAAGTTCTCGACATGGGCATCATCATGGGCGGATTGACACTTCGTGACGACTTTAATCTCGCAGTGCGAAAGGCATCGATGAAAGCGAATATTTCAATAGAAGCTTCCCCGCGGAAGGATCAATCGGAAGAACCAAATACAATTGTTTCTCCAGATTTTCATATAGAGGAGGTGAGGTTCGTCTCTTCCATGCACACTCTCTTCCACCTTTAAACTTGTTGCAAAAGTACCGCGATTGAGCTTATAACATTGCGGCCTGCCCCTCATTCACTAACGACTATAGTGTTAGCTGCTAGTGTCAATTACTTTTGTGTTTGCAGGCTGTGTATTTATTACTAGACGCAGGTACCTTTTCATGTGCATTGTAAGCCTATAATTCTTCAGTTGGTGACTTCTCATAACGCTTGTAGTCTAAAAGGTAATATATGTTTGCCAGTCTACCCATGTTCGAACTTTACTCAGATACTGATCAAGTCGTCGTTATAGTCTAGAGATATGTGTCTTCTAGAGATGCTTATGGGAGTCTATGCATCTTTTTTTTACTGAGACACTACCATTGAATGGTGGAAAGTGCGTGGAGATACTTTGAGAAACTCAAGGAGGTAAACAAATCCCCCTGTTTGTGTTTGCTGATATGTTTGGTAGGAATTTTATTTAGAAGCAGTGGATAGGAGAGGGAGAGGAAGACCCAAACAGACTTGGATTAGAAGAATCTGAATATTCGTGTGGATGAGTGATCTCTTTTCTTTCTTTCCTTTCTCCTTTTCTTTTATCTTTTATCTTCTTTATCTTCCTATGCTCTTATGTTATTTTTATATTTTTTATGCTCTTTTATCTATTTATCTTCTAGCTTTCTTATGTTCTTATGTTATTTTTACCTTATATTTATCTTTATCTTGTCTATTTTATCGTACTTTATCTTTTTTATTCTTCTTATCTTTCTTCCATTTTTGGAGACCAAAGATTTCAGACTGAGCCGAAACAATACTGAGTATATAGAGTGCAAGTTTGATGGAGTGCAATAGTGAGATTACTCTTGATGGTAAGGAGATATCGGTGTGTGATATGTTTCGTTACTTAGGCTCCATAATTAAGAAGGATGGTGAATTAGTTGGAGATGTACCCCATAGAATCAAAGCTGTGTGGATCAAATGAAAGAGTGCATCAGGATTTCTATGCGATTGAGGTATGCCGACTAAACTGAAAGGTAAATTTCATCGAACATCAATTAGGCTTGCATTAATGTATGGCGTAGAGTGTTGGGCGGTGAAACAATGTCATATTCAAAAGATGAGTGTGGCAAAGATGCGTATGTTGCGTTGGATGTGTGGACATACCAGAAAAGACTGCTTGAGGAATGAGATAATCGGACAAAATGTGGGAGTAACACCTATAGAAGATAAGATGCAGAAGTATCGTTTGCAGTGGTTTGGGCATGTGCGTAGAAGATCGAATGATGCACCTGTTACACGAATTGAGGGGTGGGGAGAAGAGGCAGAGAGGAGAGGAAGGGAAGAACCAAACAGACTTAGATTAGAGGATTCAGAACTGATACGCGTCTTCTTGGGTTGGATGAGAGTATGACTTTGGAGAAGACAAAGTGGAGAGTGCACATTCGGGTGGACGATTGATCTTGTTTCTGTCTTTCCTCTCTCCTTTTCTTTATCATTTATCTTCTTTATCTTTTTATGTTCTTATATTATTTTTATCTTCTAGTTTTTTTTATGCTCTTTTATCTTTTTTATCTTTTATCTTTCTTATATTCTTATGTTATTGTTATCTTATAATTATTTATCTTTATCTTATTCGTTTTTTTCTCTCGTCTGTCTTTTCTTTTATGCATCGATATCATGGATCAATTCATGTTAGCCGACCCCAAAATCTTTTGGGATTAAGGCTTGGATGTTGTTGTTTTATCTTTCTTCCATTTTTGGCTCTAATATCCTGGATCGATGTTAGCCGACCACAAAATCTTTTGGGAATAAGGTTTGGATGTTGTTGTTGTGTGTTCGCTGCTTCTTGAATTACTTTCTGTATGTTTTCTGCCCCATTTCTTCCATTATGGGGTTGAAAACTTCTTACCAGATACTCTTAAGCACATTTAGCACAGTAGTGGACGTAGTGGACGTAGTTCGGTTGCAAGGTTCAGGTTGCAAGGGACGTAGAGGCTAAGGTTCAACATCTAGCACAGTAGTGGACGTAGTTCGGTTGCAAGGGAAGGAATTCGGCTATGGTTTTTCAGAATTAATCTAGGCAGTGAAATTGTTCAACAGCTCCATAAAACGCCAAGAGAATTAGTATTTCAAATACTAAACTATAATTCCAACTAATAAGCCGTATATGAGAAACCCAAGAGTATGCCTGAAAAGGAAAGAGAATTCTGAAAATATAAAAAGGGCAGCCCAGTGCACATTACCGTCCCCGCAAGGTGAGGGTCCTTGGAAGGGTCCCACTACAAGGGTGTATAAGGGGCAAGTCTTCCCATGTCAAAACATTCTGACAAGAGGACGCTTTCAAGACTTGAATCCGTGACCTCTCAGTCACACTTTAGCCATTGCACCAAGCCCGCCCCCCCTTAGAATTCTGAAATTATTCCACCACAAATTAAGTAAAGACTTAAACATGCAGTGGTCTCGGGCTTCTTTCACCTTTGATAGACCGAACCGTAATGAATGGATCCATAACATAGACTTGTGTTGTATACAATGCATGCAATAACTAATAAGGTAAGTAGGTTCTATATTGAGTATACACTGTTTCCAAAGTGGTTAGAATTATGCTTGTTAATAATATTAATAATAATGTTGAAACTTCATACAGTTTCAAGAGTACAAAGTATTTAAAAATATATACCGAAGGTTTTGAAACTTGAAGAGGTACTAGCCAATATTTTGAACCACAACAAATTACTGGAAAACAAAAATAATCACAAGTTAACTGTTCACAAGCATTTCTCTCAGTTCATACGAAGACTACAGCCGGTTCTGTGAGTTACAAACTCATCATCCACCATATGTCTATGCTGTTGCTGAAAAAGTAGGATGTCATTCAGTATGCCTGTAAGTGATGCAAGTGAAGAACATGGTTTAGATGCTATGGATGTTTTTAATTGGACTGAAATTTTCTAATCTGGTCCGATCTAGTCTGGTCTGGTATTAACCGGTCTGAAATGGTTAGTAAGATGTATATTCTATGTGTATTCTACAATTGTCGAAGTCCAGTGTGGTATGAGACTGAAACCAGTCCAATTAAAAACATCCTATATATCAATCACCACACATTATTTCAGCCGCTTTCTACTTTGAGCTAACCTGGCCATCAAGCTTTTACGTAGGATCCTTTTCATCTTACTTTGGAATTTGAACTCGACTCAAGCCTAATTAAATACTCCCTTTGTCCCAAAGTGGCTTTCTGGTTCGTATAATGAATTAACAAGAATTGATTGAAGTTATCTGCAACCTGGTTTTTATAATATTTAAATTTAAATATGTAACAGTGCTTTCTAAACTCCGCCATGAGATCATTTTTTGGTATCATGCCTGTCTCAAGCCAGGATAAAAGAGGAGGGTGTTGTGGTAGGCGCGTGACGGCCAACAATATCACTTAGTCACATCACATGACATGAATTGAAATGTGACAATCTTCTCTTTTTGGTGTCATTATCATGGATCGATTCATGTTAGCCGACCCCAAAATCTTTTGGGATTAAGGCTTGGATGTTGTTGTTGTTGTAACAGTGCTGTCTAAATAAAAATTTTATATGTAAAAACTACCCTATGATTTCTATAAAAAAAAAGTAAGAAAGGTTTGTTGCTTAGTAAAATCTCTTTATGGGTTAAAGTAAGCCCCCAAGCAATTGCAAGATAAATTTGATAGAGATGCGTAGGTTTAGACAGCAAATCACAAAGAAATCAAGCTAATCTACAGAAAATTGAGCTCAAGAACAATCTGCAACTTTATTTCAATATGGTAAACCGTATACAAGTCCCAAAAGAAAGAGATAACACTCGATCTTTCCCAGTCCCAATCCCAACATCTAACAGCCCGCCTTCCCTCTGCAGGAATAGTTCTATTTATATCTTTCCACAAACGGAAGGTAGTTATTAGTAATACCAGCCAATTAACTAATAACTAACTAGTCTACTTTGACCTTCTAAAATACACTTGCCCAAAGTATTTATTCTTATCACGTAAACTAGCTGGGTACTTATCAATACCCCCTCCTTGAATAACCAACTTGTCCTCAAGTTGGAATTATGGGAACTGAGCTTGTAGCATGTTAGCATCCTCCCATGAGTCTTCAAAGTCAGGAAGCCCCTTCCAGTGTACCAAGACCTCCTTCTTACCTTCCTGACTTATTCTGATATCACTCACCTCATCAGGACTCACTTGCAGCTCACACCCTTCTGTGAGGCAATCTGGGAGATTTTGATAATTCACAGTTGGTTTCAACACTTTCTTCAGTAGGGATATATGGAATACAGGATGTATCCTACTGCCCTCTGGTAATTTGAGTTTGAAAGCCTGAGCTTTTCAATGATTTCATAAGGTCCATAAAATCTTGGGCTGAGCTTTTGATTGATTTTTTTTAGCCAAACTCTTCAACTTGTAGGGCTGTATCTTCAGAAAAACTTGATCTCCTACTTCCAGTTTCTCCTCCCCTCTGTGTTTGTCTGCCTGATGTTTCACCAAGTTTTGTGCCTTAGCTAAATTCTCCTTCAGCTCAGTCATGTTAACATCACCTCTTAAAATAGGGGAAGGTGACTGACCAAACAAAGCCTGAAAAGGAGTACTTTTCAGAGAGCTATTGTAGTTTGTGTTGAACCAATATTCAGCCCAAGGAAGCCATTTCACCCACTGCTTAGGCCTCTGACTAGTCAAACATCTTAAATAGGTCTCAAGACACCTATTTACCGCTTCAGTCTGTCCATCACTTTGTGGATAATAAGCAGTACTATATTTAAGTTTTGTTCCAGCTAACTTGAACAGTTCAGACCAAAAGGAGCTCAAGAACAGGCTGTCTCTGTCACTGACAATGGATTTTGGAAATCCATGAATCTTGACTACCTCTTGCACAAAGACTTCTGCAACTCCCTTGGCATTGAATGGGTGTGCCAAGGGAATAAAGTGTGAAAACTTGGTCAGCCTGTCTATCACAACCAAAATAGTGTCCTTACCATGTGATCTTGGTAACCCTCCAATGAAATCCATGCTGATGTCTGTCCACACCTGATCTGGAATTGGTAAAGGTTGCAGCAATCCTGCAGGTTTTAAAGCCTGATACTTGTTTCTTTGGCAGATCTCACACCCCTGAATGTAATCCTTGATGTCAGACTTCATTCCTAACCAAAAGAACAAACTGGATATCCTCTTCATAGTTCGGAAATAGCCAGAATGCCCACCTATGGCCTATGGCTGAGTCATGATACTCCTTGAGTATGGTTAGTATCCTAGGAGACCCTTTTGGTAACACCATCATGCCCTTATAGTATAATAATCCACCCTTGCTCTTATAGTCTAAATACTGATCTGGCTGAGTCATCATTCTCTTAATCACCTCCTTCCATTTAGGGTCCCTCTCCAGTTCTTCTTCTAAACCATCCCATTCCTGGCAGATAACTGAAAATAAGGCAACATAGGTAGATTTTCTAGAGAAAGCATCTGCAGCTTTATTTTCAATTCCAGGCTTATACTTGATAGTAAAGTTGTATCCCATCAACTTGGCTATCCATTTTTGCTGACCTTCTCCCATGGCAGTTTGTTCCGTCAAGTATTTCAAGCTGCGTTGGTCAGTCTGTACTTCAAAACTCCTCCCAAGCAGGTAAGGCCTCGCCTCCATTTCTGTATGGCAAATACAATTGCCATGAGTTCCTTCTCATAAACTGATTTGGATAGGTGCTTAGGAGACAATTCCTTACTCATGTAGGCAATTGGACCTCCATCCTGCATGAGAACTGCACCTAGACCCTTACCGGAAGCATCCGTTTCCACCACAAATTCACAAAAACCTTATTAAAATCTGGAACTTTGAGGACTGGTACATTAGTCATAGCCATCTTCAGTTGTTCAAAAGCTTGCCTGGCACTCTCATTCCATTTGAATCCATCTTTTTTAAGTAGATTTGTTAATGGAGCAGCAATATGGCTGTAACCTTTCACAAATCTTCTATAGTACCCAGTCAACCCTAAGAATCCTCTTAATTCTATTAGGTCTTTAGGTATATTCCATTGCTTCATTGATTCTATCTTGTCAGGGTCAGCAGCTACTCCTTCCTCAGATATCACATGCCCCAAGTAGCTCAGTTTCTTTTGGCCAAAAGAGCATTTCTTTCTAATGGCCACCAGATTGTTCTCCTGTAATGCTCCCAACACCTTCTTCAAATGTTCTTCATGATCACTTTTAATTTTACTGTAAACTAAAATATCATCAAAGAATACCAATGTAAATCTTCTTAGGTAGGGTCTTAAAACCTCATTCATAAGAGCTTGAAATGTTGCAAGAGCATTGGTCAGCCCAAAAGGCATCACCACATACTCATAATGGCCGGCGTGGGTTCTGAATGCAGTCTTATGAATATCACAGCTCTTCATACGAATTTGATGATAACCTGACTTTAAATCCAATTTAGAATATATCCTGGCACCTCCCAGCTCATCTAGCAACTCTTCTATGACTGGGATAGGGAACTTGTCAGGAATAGTAACTCTATTTAGGGCCCTATAATCCCCACAGAATCTCCACCCCCCGTCTTTCTTTTTGACAAGTAAAACAGGGGCTACTATATGGACTATTACTATTCCTCATAACTCCAGATTGTAGCATCTCATCTATAATTTTTTCTATCTCGTTTTTTTGATCAAAAATATACCTGTAGGGCCTCAGATTCGGTATACTAGCACCCTCTTTGATCCTGATGGCATGATCACAAGCTCTAGCCGGTGGAAATTTGAGCTGAGTAGTTAAAACTTCAGGAAATTCAGCTAATAGCCCCTCCCAATCATCCTCATCTTCCAATTCCTGCCTTTTGCCCTTATCCAGCCCCTCATAGCATAATAAGTATCCGTCCCCATTCTGCTGCAATATGTGAGCCATTGTTTTGAAAGAAACTTCGAGTTGGTTCAAAGCTGTGTCCCCCTTTAAAATGAACTCTTGATCTTTAGACCTCCATCTTAGAATTTTACGTTTAAAGTTCACTTCCATATCACCTAATCCAGTCAGCCACTCCATCCCCAACACCAAATCTGTATCTCCTAAATCCAATATATAATAGGTTTGTTGAATGTCAATCCCCTGCACATTCACTTTCAGTTCAGTACATCTGCCTCTATTAGTAATGCAGTCACCATTACCAATTTGTACTTTATAGCCATGGATTGGGGTATATGGAATCTGCCATCTTCCTACTAATATCTGGGATACAAAGTTGTGTGTAGCACCACAATCGATGAGAATACTGACTATTTTATTCCCTCCGGGCCACTGCATTTGTCCCTGGACCTTGAAAGTATTCATGGAAGGTATACCTTCTTTGCTTAAAACAGATAGCTGCATAGTTTTTAGCTCCAAGATAGGTTTGTGTTCTTCCTCCAACCCTATGAATTCCTCTTCTGACTCATATTCACCCTCAGCCTGCTCTACCAACATCATTTTGTAATTTTTCATCTTGCAAACATGTCCTTTTCCCCAACTTTCTCCGCATTTAAAACATACCCTTTTTACTTCTTTCTAACAATTCACCTTGGGATAATCTGGGACTTCTGTTCTGAACCAGTGTTATCACACTGTCATTTGGCTTGCTATCCTGTATGATTTTGTTGGTACTTGTGGTAGCATTAGGGTTACTCTTCCACATATTACTATTTCCCCAATTAGGCTGCTGATTATCAGATCCATTCTTCCCATTCCACCGCTTCTTGCCTTCATCCTTGTTCTTCTTGATCATGACTTCATTGTTTTTATTTTCAATCAGCCCTGCTACATCCATAACCTTAGCTAGGGTTCTGGTACTGTATAGTTTTAATTCAGCCCTCACATCTCTCTTGAGCCCCTTCAGAAATATTCCCTTCAAAACCTCTTCACTAAGATGCTTTTGAGAAGCCATAGCCATTTCAAACTGTGTCCTGAATTATGCACGAGGTCAGGTTGAAACCTCCTGGTCAACGCTTCTTCAAATTCTTCCCAATTTCGCTGTAATGCTTGTCGCTCCCACCATTGGAACCAACTAAGTGCCTGATCTTCCATAGCAATCACAGCAACATCAATTCTGTCTTCTTCCTTGGTATTATTCAACCTGAAGTAACGATCCATCCTAACTAACCAGCCGAAAGCATCTTGACCATTAAAAAGAGGTAGGTCAATTTTCCGACCTGTTTGCTGATTGCGATGGTTCCTGTGATGTTCGTTATCCGTATGCGATGAAGAAGATGCTGAATTATCATCGGAACTATCTGAACTGTCCGATCCTTTTTTGTGTTTGCGATGTAAGGTCCGATGTGAAGAATGAGATGTATGTGACCTGCTCCGCGACTTGTACTTATCTCTCTCCATCAACGCGGCGATTTAGGCTTGCATCGTTGCCATGCTCGCCTCCATCGATGCAACCAATTCTCGTTGACTCCTCTCGATTTCCGTCATTCTCCCTTCCATCTTTGCACGCGTCCAGGTCATTCAGCGCACAAAACCTTCTCTGATACCAATGATAGAGATGCGCAGGTTTAGACAGTAAATCACAAAGCAATCAAGCTAATCTACAGAAAATTGAGCTCAAGAACAATCTGCAACTTTATTTCAATATGGTAAACTGTATACAAGTCCCAAAAGAAAGAGATAACACTCGATCTTTCCCAGTCCCAATCCCAGCATCTAACAGCCTGCCTTCCCTCTTCCCTCTGCAGGAATAGTTCTATTTATATCCTTCCACAAACGGAAGGTAGTTATTAGTAATACCAGCCAACTAACTAATAACTAACTAGTCTACTTTGACCTTCTAGAATACACTTGCCCAAAGTATTTATTCTTATCACGTAGACTAGCTGGGTACTTATCAAAATTTGATAGTGTAACGCTATCAAATGGATTTAAAATCAATGAGGCCGACAAATGAGTGTATGTGAAAGGCACTAAAAAGCACTACGTTATAGTGTGTCTATACGTAGATGATATACTAATTTTTGGTAGTAACAACAATTCGATAAAAGCTACCAAAAGTATGTTGGCCAGGAAATTTGATATGAAGGATCTCAGTGTTGTGGATGTAATTCTAGGAATTAAAATCACCAGAACACCGGAAGAATGAAATAAAGAAGGTTCAGTTTGTCTAAATTATTGTAAACATGGCATTTTGTTGCATAGGAGTTTAAAATTGAAAATTTTGTTGTGGGCCTTGTCCATTAGCAGCTCCACGGATAATAACTCATCTTTGAATCACTACTTTTTTTCTCTTTCTTTCTCCCATCCCATTTCCTTTTTTCTATGTAAGGGCCTTGAAGTAAACCACATTCACCTTACAACGTTGCCTTTGAACTTTTCTGGTGCATCATAAAGGCTGTGGTTTTTTATTAATTAGATGTGTGAAGGTGTGTGTGTATTTTTCTAGAAAAGGTATCGCGATCCTTTGGAGCGAATTTGCAGGTATCACGGGTTTTGCCTGTAAAGTCACTCTCTTGTAAAATGGTTGGAAAAAGGTCTGCATTATCCTTGGAGAGCTTCCTTCAAGATCATTTTTTAGCTGGATCGCCTGTTGTTATCAGAGATTGCATGGATCATTGGCCAGCCAAGGGCAAGTGGAATGATTTGAACTACCTACGTAGTGTTGCTGGATATCGTACAGTACCAGTTGAGGTAATTAAGAGTTCGTTTACTATGATCTCAATCCTTGATTCATTCAGAACACATTCTTTCTGCATAAAATCCTGCTTATCTATGGGTATGTTTGGCACAACTAGCTGAAAAGATACTTTTGTGAGCTTTTTAGTAACTGTTAGCTTTTAGTGACTGAAAAGATCTTAAAAAGAAAATGTGATAGCTGTTTGGTAAAAAGCTGACTGTTTGATTTAGTTCGGTTTGGTGTACAAGCTCTTAGGACTAATTAATACTAAAAGTCACGAGCTTTTCTCAGATGCTACACCCGGTAGCATCTCAAAAAAGATCTTTTAATTTTTGAAAAGCTCTTAAAAAATGTCATGCCAAACATACAACTAGAGTCTTTTAAGGTCTTTTTAAAGAAAAGAGAAGCTAGAAGGCAAAGGCTTTTGTGTGCCAAACATGGCCTATGTGTATCTAGATAGCTGATAGCATCTCAAGCACAGGCTCTGTTCATTTTTATTCATTGTATCATTTGCTTTATCACCTAATTTTGTAAACTGTCTTCATTTCCTTATTCCGATATGCTTTCGTATTTTTACCGTGTAGTAACAAGTTCTTGAAGAGCTTTAAATGCGCAACACGTGCTAGGGCCACATGAATGACCCAAAGAAGTTTTATTATTATTATTATTATTATTATTATTATTATTATTATTATTATTATTATTATTATTATTATTATTATTATTATTATGAAAAGGCATTTTATTAGGATAAGAAAATTTGGAAGATTACAAATAACAAGTAGGGAGCCTAGCAACAAGTTGAGCTCCAACACCTTTCTGAATGACTAATCCAATCCTAATAAAAAGAAAATTGCCAACTCTTAGGGGGGTGTCCCCAACCTAGATTTTGAAGGATTTTTTAGGATATTAAATTCCATGGATTTTAAAAGAATTAGAAAGACTCCACCAGATTTTGTGGAATTCTATCAGATTCCATTGACAATAGATGCTTGCTTTCTTTTATCCTTTTTGTAATGGATGTGCGTACAAAGCTTCCACACCTCACCTTCCCAGACACGACCTGCTACTCCACAAAGCTCACCATCAGTTCTCTTTTCGACATTTTTATGAGCCGATTTGGCTGGAAACAGACCGGCGAACTGTGCTATTGCGACGGTGGTCGAGTTAGAGCACCCAAAGATTGAAATCGGACCTCCAATCGTTCAGCAGGTTGGGAAAGTACTTGCCTGCTAGTTATCGAGGATGAAGAAGGCGGATCTGAAGTGAGGAGGAAGAAGAAGTTTGGACTCACGGATCTTGTCCGCTTGATTTGTCGATGTTGCTTCGCCGCCATAAGGTTGGTGCTGTCGAAGAAAGAAAGGAAGTGGAAGAAGGGAAGGAAGACTGTTATAGAAGGGAAGGAAGGCAGTTATAAAAGGGATGGAAGGCAGACGATGTTCGAGCTCTCATCCAGACTTCCGATTTCAGTTGCCAGCGAGTTCCTTGTGACTCTCACGGGAAATCCTTTGAAATCCGAAGAAAAGTGTAAAGATTTTGGACGGTATTCTTTCCTTTACATTTTACGATTGAAATCCATGGAAATCCTTAGCAATCCAAGTCTAATAAAATCCATGGATATGTTGAGGACAACCAGATTTTGTTAGACTCCCGCAGATTCTACGTTGAGGACACCCGGGTTCTACAAATCTTTTAAAATCCTATGGATTCCTAATTGAGGACACCCCCGTTAGAGTAGAATCATGTCTAGCAATATGGCTCTTAACTCGTTTAAGAAACAAAATGGAATCCGGTCCAAGCTCTCCCAAGGTGGTGAAGCCCAAGGTGCCAAAACTGTGTCCATTTGCTCTGCAAATATCCTCATATTTATGTCGTTTCCTTTCAATGGCTCTAACAAGTGCTGCCCCAGGTTTAAAATGCTCAAGATCAACATCACCTGCAAAGGGAGAGACAATAGTAACATCCAGACAAACATCAGCCCCCTTATCCCACCCATAAAGAAGGACATCAGCCGGTTTAGCTCCACACCCCTTATTATTATTATTATTATTATTATTATTATTATTATTATTATTATTATTATTATTATTATTATTATTATTATTATTATTATTATTATTATTATTATTATTATTATTATTATTATTATTATTATTATTATTATTATTATTATTATTATTATTATTATTATTATTATTATTATTATTATTATTATTATTATTATTATTATTATTATTATTATTATTATTATTATTATTATTATTATTATTATTATTATTATTATTATTATTATTATTATTATTATTATTATTATTATTATTATTATTATTATTATTATTATTATTATTATTATTATTATTATTATTATTATTATTATTATTATTATTATTATTATTATTATTATTATTATTATTATTATTATTATTATTATTATTATTATTATTATTATTATTATTATTATTATTATTATTATTATTATTATTATTATTATTATTATTATTATTATTATTATTATTATTATTATTATTATTATTATTATTATTATTATTATTATTATTATTATTATTATTATTATTATTATTATTATTATTATTATTATTATTATTATTATTATTATTATTATTATTATTATTATTATTATTATTATTATTATTATTATTATTATTATTATTATTATTATTATTATTATTATTATTATTATTATTATTATTATTATTATTATTATTATTATTATTATTATTATTATTATTATTATTATTATTATTATTATTATTATTATTATTATTATTATTATTATTATTATTATTATTATTATTATTATTATTATTATTATTATTATTATTATTATTATTATTATTATTATTATTATTATTATTATTATTATTATTATTATTATTATTATTATTATTATTATTATTATTATTATTATTATTATTATTATTATTATTATTATTATTATTATTATTATTATTATTATTATTATTATTATTATTATTATTATTATTATTATTATTATTATTATTATTATTATTATTATTATTATTATTATTATTATTATTATTATTATTATTATTATTATTATTATTATTATTATTATTATTATTATTATTATTATTATTATTATTATTATTATTATTATTATTATTATTATTATTATTATTATTATTATTATTATTATTATTATTATTATTATTATTATTATTATTATTATTATTATTATTATTATTATTATTATTAGCCTAAATAGGACTAAAAAGTGACAAAATTGCACAAATAGGACTACATTTTTTGAATTCCCTTAATAGGACTATTTATGTGTGTTTGGACAAATATACCCTTGCAACTTGTAAAATGTTTTAATTAATAATAAAATCATAAAAAAATTAATAAAAATAAAAAAAATACTAAAAATCGTAAAAAAAATAATAGAAAAATAATAAAAATATTTTTTAAAAAAATAATTTTTTTTTTAAAAAATAAAATAAAAATAAAAAAAATCATAAAATTAAAAAAAAAAACATTACTACCCCTGCCACCCCCCAGCACCACCAGCTCCCATCACCGGAGAAAAATATGCCAACATTTAAAATAATGCCATAATGATGGCATATTCAATGAAAATGTTGGCATATTGAAGAGTAATTATGCCATCTTTTTGGCATTTTCAGAAAAATATGGCATTTTTTTACCAAAAGTGGAAGAAATTTCACCAATCGGAGGTGGTGGTGCTGGGAGGCGGTGGGAAAGGTATTCATAATTTTTTCCATTTTTTATGGGTTTTTACTATTTTTTATTATTTTTTTTAAAAAATTAAAAAATAAAAAAATTAAATTTTTTCTTTTATAAATGTTTTATAAATTTTTTATAATTTTAATCACGTTTTTAAAATATTTTTTACGTTTTTTATGATTTTTATTATGAATTAAAGAATTTCATTATGAATTAATACTCTAAGGGGTATTTAGGGTAGAAAATCAATGTTTAGTCCTATTTAGAGAATTTTAAAAGTAGTAGTCCTATTTGTGCTTTTTAGGAACTCATTAGTCCTATTTAGGACAATTTGCGTTATTATTATTATTATTATTATTATTATTATTATTATTATTACTATTACTATTATTATGATTATTATTAGGATTATTATCATCATCATCATCATCATCATCATCATCATCATCATCATCATCATCATCATCATCATCATTGTTATTATTCTCATCATCATTATTACTGTTTGTGTTTGTAGTAATAAATTCCTGTTATTATTAGTATTAATTATTATTATTAGTATTACTCCCTCTATCCCTCAAAACTTGGCCAAGTTTGACTGACACGAGGATTGATAAAGTAAAAACTGTGTGGTTGAGGTTTGTGCTGAGGAGAAAGAATTAACTAAAACCACAAATTCTTTACTTAAAAGGTAAAGTGGTAAAGTTAATGGAACAACCAAAAAAGGAAAGTTGACAAAGTTTTAAGGAACGGAGGGAGTATTATTATTCTAATTATTTTCCTATTAGCGGTGGTATCACTGGTATGTCATGCATTCTATATAAGTTAGTAATCCTAAAATTACTACTAGGAATATTGTGTAAGTTAAGACTGTTACTTCTTACCAAGACTCTTGGTAATTCAGCTGCTACCGCCAATCCCTCTTAACAATTTCTTGTTGCCTCCTGTACATTCGTTGCCCACGTTTAAGTTGCCACATACTCTGCCTCTTATGCCTTTCTGCAAGAACTTCTTGAGGGTTTTGCAGCGAGAGCGTGCACGCTCAACAACACGCAATAGAGAACGTGCATGTTCCATAGTTTCCAAATCTAGAAACTATTTCGAGTATGCAATCTAACGTTTCAAGCGAGATAGTATGGACCTTCCTAGCAAGGATGGATTTGATGGATTGAGCCTGATAATGGGGCTTTTGCCCATTACTCAGTGAAGTGTGGCTATGACAAATTTTTAAACTATCATACACCGACCACGAATAAAAATACAAATCAACATATAAAGTCTTATCAAGTTTAACTTTTTAGGATGAAACCCCAATTCTTAATACCTTTAAAAGGGGAGTAACAATATGGGCAGGTCTTGTTGACAAACTTGATGTCTAACTAGAAAGTAACGGTATTGGCAAATTTATGCTTGGACCACGTGAACGAACCAAAGAAGTCTTATTTTTATTACCATTGTTTTAGTCAGTAGCATTAGATTCCTATTACTGTTATTATTCTTATTAGCTTCCTATTAGTAATGGTATTCTATTTTACTTAATTTTTGTAACAGGAATATTGTACTCCCTCCGTCCACTTAACTTTTTCCCGTTTTACCTTTTTCGTCCATCCCATTAAGTTTGTCCCATATCATATTTGGTAGTATTTGAGTGGATACAATTCATTCTTACTTTATTCACACTTTATCAATTCAATACCAACCACACAATTCTACTTTTTCTTAAAAACCATACGTCCATACCACACCTCTTTGTCCCAAACTTAGGGGGACGGAGGTAGTAATAGTTAGGACTCTTACTTGATTTACTTCGCACCAAGGCTATTGGTAGTAGTATAAACTGTGAGTCTCTTTTCATTAATAAGATCATCAATCTTTTGGAGTAATATAACTTCTCGTGCACTAGGGTCTAGGAGGAAGCGACAAACACCTTTCTACCATAGTTATTGTAGCTTTTGTAGCTTCTCCTCATCTCCCAACCTCACACCTCTAAGAGCATTTTGAAAGTTTTGTTTGACCAATGTACATTTTTTTTGTTTTGGTTAGTTACAAATGCCACAATTCATATATTATATATTGTATTTTTAAAACTTCTTTGCTGGGTTAGCTAACATTACTAGTAACTTGTTTTTGAATCTTCTTTTACAATTTTGTGGCAAATTATATGAAATGTTAGGCTTATTAGCTCCGTTTGTACATAGTGCACACATTTTGTGTGTGACAAAAGACAGTGTTTAAAATAAGTTGTTTCTTTCGCCAGAGAGAGTAATAGTTAATGCCATGATGAAATCACTGTTATATATATTATACACACACATATCATAATATCAACTTATGTCATTAACCCTTTAGGGCTCTAATGTGTCCGTGGTTAATGATTGTATGATCCATGTTTTTTTTTTGAAAAATCTAAATCTGACACTGACTTTGAAGGTTGGAAAAAAATATAAAACTAACACTATATAATTTTGAAGGTTGGAAAGAACTACTTGTGCTCAACATGGAAGCAAGAGCTGATCACATTTTCTGAGCTTCTAGAGAGGATTCAGAACAATGGCTACACTTTTTCCGAAACCACATACTTAGCTCAACATCAATTATTTGATCAGGTACAAATTTTTGTACACGTATAGGGTAGTCTACATCAAGGGTTGAGATGTTACTGGCTTAACTCTAATGGTCTTTACCTAAATTTCAGATCCAAGAGCTGAAGCATGACATTCTTGTCCCTGATTACTGTTGTGCTGGAGGTGGAGAAGTCAGGTCACTAAATGCTTGGTTTGGCCCAGCTGGTACAGTGACACCATTGCATCATGATCCCCACCACAATATACTTGCTCAGGTATGAATACACAAATAAATTTGGTTTGTCTAACAACTAATGATCATCATCAAGAGTTTGGGATCGGCTAATGTTAGGGAGCGCGAGACAGTTGGGCATGTGCTTCAGGAGGACGAGTCTCGCCCGTTATTGGTTTACCGTCGCCGTCGATGGGCCTAGATGGGCTGGGTTGATTTCTGGAGTTTATTTAGTTTAATTGTTTATTTCTACTTTAGTTATTTTCATGATTATTTAATGTGCTATTTTTGGATGGTTAGGTGAAGTCTTATTTAAGGGTTTGATAGGGACTATTATTGGGGGAGGAAAAATAAGAATTGGTTAGCCTACGGCTTACGGCAGACATTATCGTTTGCTTGGAACTTTGGTTTTCTGCTTCTATCAATTTGGTCCGACCTACCGGATCCTATCTACCGCGCCCTATCCATTGTCATGACTCGTTCTACCATTGATCAATGCATTGATACGATAGAAGCAGATGAGAAAGACATCAAGGCAGAATTGCAATCCACAAATGCAAAATTGGATGCTATCACCGAAACCCCAGACAAACTGGCGCATAAGGTTATGGCGTTGGGTGAATCGCCGACTGATCCCGTTTCGGGAGAGGGAGGCAAGGCTGAATCAGGGGGTGTAACACAACCCACCCACAATCCAGGGCATGTGATCACGCCACTGGCGCTACCAGCTTTTGAGGGGGCGGATCATATAGGACGGCTCGCCAGGACCAATCAACAATTTGACTTTCATCGGACCCGAGTTGAAGATGGCATCAGGCATGGTTGCCATGGAGGGTCCTGCTTTGTATTGGTTTTCTTGGTCACGGTCGCGGAAACCGAATATCACATGGGAAGAGTTTTCAAAAGCCCTTCTAGCCCGTTTTGATACTCGGTTTAAGGGGAGCACCTTCGAACGGTTGGAAGACGTTAAGCAGACAAGGTCCGTGGATGACTATGTGACCGTGTTCGTTCAACTAGCAAGTCAGGTCCCAAGTTTGAGTAATGCCCACTACTTGGGATACTTTATGAAAGGGTTGTGGGACACAATTCGCAGTTTCTTGCGGCTTTTACGGCCAGCTGATTTGGAAGCTGCTATGGAGCAGAGATATCGAAAACAACATAGCCGTTTAGGTAGTTACCCCAAGATTGACAAGTTTTCAGGGTTTTCCTCCACCCCAGTTAGGCAGTTACCGGAACCCAAAGGACAGAGGGAGGCACAGTTTCCTTGCAATCTCCAGGTCTTACGCCGAGGACCGGATCAACGATGATTGACCAGTCTGTGAATCGCTCAGTTCATGCGCGTTTCACCACAGGAGCCAGCAGACCTGCGTGCAAAAGGGCTTTGTTTCTGCTGCAAGAAGCCCTACACCCCCGAGCATGAATGTCCACTAAAGTAGTTACGAGTAATGGTTGCCGAGGATGATGAGGACTTCGACCTCAACCAAACTGAATCTTTTGTCCCACTCGAGGATTTCGAGCAATTAGGGGAACAGGGGGAGCAGTAGGTAGCTGATATGGACTTGCCCATATATTCGATGGCTGTAATTTCTAGTCCCCGTATTATGCGACTCAGAGGCGTAACAAAGGGGTTAATAGTGACCGTCTTGGTGGATAGTGGCGCTAGTCACAACTTTATATCAACAGTCCTGGTGGATAGTGGCGCTAGTCACAACTTTATATCAACAGTCCTTGTATCTCGACTTAAACTAAGGGCGGAAAAGACAGGGAAGTTTGGTGTACAATTGAGGGACGATCGTCGCCAAGAATCAGAAGGGGTTTATAAGGGGGGGTGTCAATCTCACTTCCTTGGTGTGAAGTACAGAAGATTGTTACGTGTTTACATTGGGGGGAGTGGATGTTATACTGGGAGTAGCATGACTAGCATCCTTGGGAGAGGTCCGGACCAACTAGGATACGATGACTATCTCATTTGATTGGCATGACAGACCTGCAGTGTTGAAACAGGTGGGACTGCCGGCCCTGCTTTGGACAAGGGATGTGGAATTTTGGGGAGTTATGATAGAGGGAGAGCCCACTACTATTGAGGGCTTGAGGCCAAATGAGGAGCTAGTGGCTGATGTTTTGCGAGAGTTTGAGGAAGTATTTGGAGAGCCGCGGGACCTTCCCCCTTAACGATCTACAGACCACCGGATTTAGTTGGCACCAAGAACAGGGCTGTCATCTGTCCGGCCTTATAGATATGGACATAGCCAGAAGGATGAGATTGAAAACCTTGTGTCCGATATGCTAATGGCAAGCATCATTCGGCCAAGTTCCAGACCGTTATCGAGCCCAGTTCTCTAGGTTATAAAGATTGGTTAAAAAGAAAAATGGCTGTTGGCGATTCTGTGTGGACTACCGGGAATTAAATAAGATGACTGTTCATACAAGTATTCGATTCCGGTAAATCTGGAGATGTTAGATGAACTATATGGAGCTGTAATTTTTTCGAAAATTGATCTCCGAGCCAGATATCATCAAATACAAGTGGCTAATCGGCACTTTCCTAAAATAGCCTTCTGCACTCATAGTGGCCACTACAAGTTTCTCGTAATGCCTTTCGGGTTAACAAACACACCTGCCACCTTCTAATCCACGATGAACGATCTGTTTAGGCTGTTCTTGTGAAGATTTGTCTTGGTATTCTTCGACGATATTTTGATCTACAGTCGGACAGTAGTCGAGCATCATGAGCACTTCACATAGGTGCTGCGCATTTTACATCAGAATCAGTTCAAGGCCAATAGAAAGAAGTGTGTCTTCGGGGGGTCTAAGGTTGAGTAACTTGGCCACATCATTTTAGCGGCGGGCGTGGAGATGGATGCTTCTAAAGTTTGTGCAGTAGTCAAGTGGCCACAACCGCATTCTGTCTGAGATGTGCGCGAATTTTTGGGGTTGATGGGCTATTACCCCCCGTTTCATAAAAAATTATGGACTCGACATGGCCTCTGACAGCCTTGCCGAAGAAAAAACACACCACTTGTATTTGATTTGACTAAGGAAGCAGCAACTGCTTTCACTCGTTTGAAGAGCGCGCTGACGTAAGCGCCAATTTGGCCATGCCGGATTTCAAGGGTCATTTTGTGATCGAGTTCGATGCTTCAGGTATTGGGGTAGGGGCAGTCTTGATGAAAGAAGGTCGTCCACTTGCTTATTTCAGTAAATCGTTGGCTGATTGCACCCTTACTAAATCAATGAACAAGAATTAATGGGTTTGGTTTTGGAATTACAACATTGGTGGCCATATCTCGTGGATCGTCATTTTACTGTCCGCACCGCTCACTACAGCCTCAAACATCTTCTCTCGCACAAAATTGTGACTTCGTCGCAGCAGAATTGGGTGGCCAAATTATTGGGGTATGATATCCAAATTGAGTACAAGTCAGTGGCTGATGCCCTATCTGGAAGGGCTGATGAGGGGTTGTTGACAGTACCGAGCGTGCCAGATTGGGCAAAGATGCGAGAGGTATTGGAGGAACAAGGGCGTGAAGAGTTTATTCAAGGCATTGTGACTATTTTGAAGACCGATCTGGACAGCCGGATGGGGTTCAAAATAGTAGAGGGCATGTTGTTTTTTAATGGAAGGTTGGTGCTGGCAGCCACTTCTGAGTGGACTCCGAAACTATTGCATGAATTTCATGACAAACCGAAAGTGAGCCATGCTGGGGCTCTCAGGACTTATCAACGATTAGCGAGCAGTGTGTATTGGAAGGGCATGTTCCGTCAGGTGCAAGAATATGTGGGCAAATGTTTGGTCTGCCAGAAATCGAAAAATGAAGCAATGCCACCCAGCAGGGTTACTACAACCGCTGCCGATTCTAGATTTAGTTTGAGAGGGCATGGCCATGGATTTTATTACTCCCTCAGTCCCAAATTGTATGATACATTTACTATTCACTTAGTCAACACAAATCACTTTTAATCTTGTATTTTATATATCAAAAGTTTATGAAATTTGAATTATTTTTTGCAGGTTTTGTAGCGGTTTTAATGTAGTTTCTGAATATGTAAATTTTATTTTCTAAAAATAATTTGAGTGTTGACAGGGATCAATTTGCTTTATCGTCAGTCAAACATCGTAAACCGTAATGTATCTTACAAATTGGGACGGAGGGAGTACTTGTTTGCCTAATTCTCAGGGGTATATGTGTGTTATGGTGGTGGTGGATAGGTTGTCCAAGTATAGACATTTCATCGCATTAAAACTGCCAATTACTACTCGGTTTGTGGCTGATATTTTCATTTGGGAGATCTTTCGGTTGCATGGTATTCCGGGGCCCATAGTCTGTGACAGAGATGCGCTATTTGTCAGTACCTTTTGGAAAGAGTTGTTCAAGAACCATCCTGAAACAGTTAGCCAAACAGATTTTGGTCGTGTTTTGGAGACACATCTTCGCTGTTTTACATGTGACCAGCCGAATAAGTGGCTTCGTTGGTTGTTTTGGGAGGTGTATTGGTACAATACCACTTACCAAACTGCTGCCGGGATGACTCCTTTTGAATTGGTGTATGGCAGGCCGCCTTCGTCCTTATGACGGTTCTTGCCGGGTGGCAGCCGTGGCAGAGATTTTGGGGGTACGGGACGAGTTGCTGCGTCGTTTGAGGGGTAATTTGGAAAAGGCGCAACAGAAAATGATCACGCAGGCAAATTAATGAAGGCGGGATGTGGCTTATGTCACAATTAATCCAATTTACATGTATTTTATTTAACCTGAAAATAAAAAGGAAAACCCTCCTAGTCCCAATCGTTTATTCCTAATTTACTCTTCACGCTTCTTGCCTATACTCTACTTCTTCTAATGATCTGTACTCAGGAAAAATAATGAAGAGAGCATGGAAATTGAGATATTCTAAATGTGAGAGTGATAAGAACAGAAAAATAAAATCAACGGGGTGAACCGTTGTCCAGATAATCAACGATAAAAAAATACCGTTGCCCAGAGCCAAAAGGCTAAACCAAACTTTTATTCCAAGATAATAAGAATGAACCCTGGCGAGGGGTAT